AAAAAAAAAAAAAAAAAAAAAACGATAAATCCGCGATTTTTGGGAAATAAGCAAACTTTTGGCCCGAAACGTTGAGCAGCTGTATTTTAGTCCAATCTCAGCCCAAAATTAGACCCAGAAGAATTCAAAGGCCGAGTTCCATTCATTTACTTTGTGTGATATAATGCATCAAAAAACCCCCCGTCTATTTCGTTCTGAAGCTACGAGACTTGAATTTGAATATCGTGGAAAACTGAAATGCAAAAGAAGTTCGGGGCACAATTTCGTGGATTCCTCGGCCACCTACTACCAATAATTGCCGGTTGGAACAGTGGACACTTTCTCCAGTAAATTTCTGCAGTTACAAAACAGGACTACGAAATCCAAGAAAATTAATGAAATGAGCCTGAAGTATATAAGACATAGAAATCTAGAGATTAATTTTGGATCTGGTTCATGCGCGGCTGATAATTTTGCTTCCAAAAAGCTAAATTCCGGTATTTTTTTTCTGAACTGTTATAGACAAGAGCGCAGTGATTTCATCATCATGTGCTTTCTCGAGCAAAGATTTTTTATAAGCATACTTGTCGTATCAGATCTTCTCGGCTCAAAAGATGGATTCGTTTCAGTCTTCCTTCGCCCGATGAGTCCGCTGCTATTTCGCCCAAGACACGTTCTGCCGTACCACTGAAAAAAACAAATACACACTTCTGAAACATGTCGGATATTCACTGAGTAAAAGTACTTGCAAAAATGAGGCAAAATCAACTGTCCTTCTATTTCGATGGTGCAAAGAATCCATCTTTTGAGCCGAGGAGATCTAGCACCGCCCGTACACCTGGTGCCTTGAGTCAGGAACGATATCGACAAAGTACAGGAGATCCAGAACAGTACTGATACCCCAAAATCTCAGCTAGTATGCTAACAAATATGCAGTCATTCGAGATAAGCAAAACAGTTAGTCGCCAACTGTACGGGGACAGGCACCACTAACCTTGTCTTATCAAGAACTCTTGGGTCAGCACTTGCAATAGGTACCACACCATCTTTATAACTGACGCAAACCAACAAATCATTGGGACGCTTCGTAAGTGAATCGTTGTCAAGATATATTATTTGCCCATTCGAGCTGCCCTGTGACATCTCACCGCAGCACTGCTGAAAAAAAAATAAATAAATATATAAGTAGCGGCACGAACCAGGGCAATCGGTGCGGTCATGGGTTTTGTGCAATTCCGTC